GACGTGTTCAAATTACCCTACTTTTCCTGCCTTTAGCTCTACAGCGCGTAGAATGCACGTTTTAAAAGTAGTTATAATCGATTTCTTTGGATGGATTTGTATATATGTGACTGAAATTACACCTATTCTAGAAAACTCGAAGTTGGTGTGAAATAGATGCATAGATATGAGGATTTAAAGAGGTACTCTATTGATCTACCATTACTTGCCTAAGTCACTTGACAAAACCAGACCCTTCCTGATCCTACTCCTATACCTACTCGGGTCCCACTCACAGCCGAGCTTGACGGTCGATATTCAGACGGTATCCACAATATGTTACTACCAGCGTACATGACCCACTTGCAATCTGAACTTATACCAGCACCCTGGTACTGCAATTTTAATGTTGTAGTGTCAATGCGGTCTGTAGTCTGTGAGCTAGAGATAGAGATAGAAATAGTGCTTTTTTCTGTATGGAGTAAAGTACTAGTAGAATCGAAAGACAACCGTAGAAAAAATGTGCCAGCATCAAGGGTATGTAGACACGTCCCACTACTGGCGTCCCATATCTTGATAGTACTGTCGCCAGACGTCGAGGCTAGCCAGGTTGAGTTGTGCGAGAAGGCCACTGAGCTAAGGCCACTGCTATGGCCCTCGAGCGTCTGCAGGCATGTTCCGCTGCTTGCGTCCCAGATCTTGACAGTCGAGTCATGTGACGCCGATGCTAGCCAAGTTGAGTCATGCGAGAAGACTACTGACCTAACCCAATGGGTATGGCCCTCAAGCGTCTGCACACACGTCCCGCTACTCGCATCCCAGATCTTGACGGTTCTGTCATTTGATGCTGACGCTAGCCATTTCAAGTCGTGCGAAAAGGTTACTGACCTAACGTAATCGCTATGACCATTAAGTGTATGCAGACACATCCCTGTACTTAGGTCCCATATCTTGGCAGTCCAGTCTAAAGACGCTGACGCTAGCCAGGTCGAGTCGTGCGAGAAGGCTACTGAGGTAACATCATCCCTATGACCCTGGAGCGTCTGCAGGCACGCACTCCAGCCGTTGCTTGTAGCTGGCTTGAGAACCACTCTTCTTGGCCTTTCGTGCTGGAATAGTCTTCTTATTATGCTGTCTGCTGGACTGAATAGCAGAGCAGATGCGTACGCTTGTAAAGGATAGTTCTCAATTGCCTCCTTGTGGTACATGATGAATCTTCGTGCGTCGTCTACAATCTCGTTCAACGCATCTGCATCTCCGAGTCCCTAGCTACGTTAGTAACTACATCATTAAGACTACATGTGTAACCAAGTAGGCCCTACCTGGACTACATGCCACAGTTTTGTCATCGAGACTACCCCTTTGGCCATGCCTCTGCATAAGCTAAGCGCTTCTAGCCAGTAGAGATATTTGTGCCTAAGGAATACGTCTATAGTTCTGGTGTCTCCTTGATTAGCAACACTGTGTGTTAATGAATTGTGTTTTGAGTCGCAGAAGTGATCAACCCAGTACACACATGGATAGCGCGACACGGCTAGAGGATCAAGAAGAGGCGGCTTGGCGTTTCCCACAGGATATCCGGGTGCTTGGAGGTTATATATATCTCGGTCTAATGTTTTCTGCAGAATAGAAAGTGATTGTACAAAAATGTCTTGATGTACACGTTCTATACCATCTTGAAAGACCTTGTCTAAGGCTTTTGTGACGAGGAATTCTTTCGCTGACTGATGCACAAAGTAAACTGTGTCGTCACGCAGCGTGAGGAACGATCCGCAGAGACCAATGATCTCCCGCACAGACTCTAGGTCATTAACAAGGTCTGCAAGCTGCTCAGTAAGTACAACTAGTTCAGCGACTGTGACGGGTCGATACAGGACAGCAGTCACTGCCAGTACCCGCAGACACATATCCGCGCTACCAGACTCGCTTATCTGCTGTAACATCCGATTGTACAAAGCGTCCAGTCCAGGTGGGAACTGGGCTAGTTTTTTGAGCACGCTCCACCTCGGCGTTGCTTTGAGGTCTTGGCACACCAACGCAACCCAGGGGAAGGTATCATTCACATTCGACTTCAAGTGCTGGAGCACGGCGTGTTGAAGCTCCCCTTTGTACTTGTTCTCTTGCGCTAACTGGTCTACCTTTTGCTCGATGAAGACGTCAACTGCCGCAGCGACCGACTCTGCGTTAAGCTCAAGGCTTAGTTTCATCTTGTGTCCTGCGCGCTCGAGCTGTGCTTCAATGTCTGGCCAGTTGCGACTAGACACTATCCACTTGACGTGAGAGGACACAGACGACTGCTTCACGATGAAACTGAGCAATTTTGGTAAGTCTGTCACGCACTCATCCAGCGCGTCAATGATTAGGTACGTTGTGCCTAGGCTTACATCTTGCAGCACGTCGGCGAAGATCTCTGACAGGACGACCCAGGCATTCGCGTCCTCGAACAAGCCTTTGCCTGCGTCATCGTACTTCTTGCTGACATGCGATATAAGCGACGGTTGTCGGCGCAGGAGCATGTACAACAAGCCTCGTAGCACAGCTGTGGCACTATTAATGCGCGAGTCTGTCGCTTGGCAGAAGAAGTACAGCAGAAGAGCAGTCCGAGGTATACCATTTTGCAGTTCGTCGATGATGCCACACAGTAACATTGTTTTTCCTTTGCCAGGGTCGCCTTTCACCCACAATAGTCGGCTATCCAGGCGCTGTTGCCATTGCTGGAAAGTAAGGTTGTCAAGCACCCAGCGGTAGGAGTCTGCGAGAAGACCGCCCTTAGTATCCTCGATGCGCTTCTTGTCGTCCCGAGGATCTGTCCGGCGTATATCTTGAAGACACTTATTTTGCTTGTCGACCTCATCTGTAACTCGTTTCATCGCTTCAGCTGAACTCTCATCGTCAAACGGCGATAAACTGACTCCCAAGATTCCCATAAGGGAATACGCGCGGTCCGCTGGAATTGTTGTTGTCCGATGTTCATTTCACGAAATTCGTTCATTTACACTAAAATCGGACAAAGGCGTGCCCTGTAGTGCTGCCTCAGGTATGCGCGTAATTTCACATAACACTGGCAACAGTGATGACTTGCTACCTAGTTTTTGCCCATCTTTAGAGAAGAAATCTACCACGGGTGGCGCAATGAGTTCTTGCAGTGTCCAACCACGAGTGAACCATCTGCTGCGGCGGAAGGCGGTATAGTCGCATGACGATTCGGCTGATTCACCAGAATAGATCATGATTCCAGCAACGTCAGATAGGTAGACATAACATCGGGCCGCGTTACGATACCAGCGAAACATCGATCGGATGGAAAAGGCAAGCTCAGCCTTGTCATTCTTATCAATGCAGCACGTGTCAATCCAGAAGTACTGGAGGTTGTCGCGCCGTGCCTGTTTTCCGCAGAAGAGGATCTTCTCATAGCCTAGCTTTGTCTTGCTACCGCCTGTCTGGAGGTCTGCAAATGTCACTTCGTCGCCATCTGCACCCCAGGTGTGTGAGAGTATCGCGTAAGGGGGTATGTCGCCATCGTCGAAGCTATGGGTGCTGAGCATTCCGCTTTCGCTATACTGCAAGAGCCGCATAGTTTCGTGTGGGTGTATAGTAGGCATGCGTGACAAGAATGGGAGTCAAAAGGCTAGACTTGGTAGTCTGGTCATGTGGGCACTTGCTAGCTGCTTTCCTACTACCGATGGATGGTCAGCATGCAAAGAAAGTAACGAGCAGGGCCCTGTGATGCGTCCAGATGTCGCGAGTTGAGGCTGCTAGCTTTCGCTGTATTTTTTTTTGGCTTGGTGGTGAAATTTGTTTAAAGCCTCAGGCGGGGTAAAGCGTGGCTTCATGCATGCGACGTGCACTGCATAGAGAGCTGCGTACGAGGTAAGGCCCTTGGCGCTGTTGGCAGGGGCCCAAGCATTACTACGTAAAGCACTTAAAATCTGTTCATCACGATGCAGGACAGATGGAAAAGCAGTCGCGTGAATACAAGGCTTTTGAGCAACACGTAGTTATGTTTAAATTCGATTTAAGTCTCCCCTTTTGTCCAGCCTATCGAACACCATGAGACCCCACCATATAGAGAAAGCGGTCTAGTGCATTCTAGCTACAGGCGCTCTCCATGCAGATACCGGCGCATGCGCTAGCTCAGGCGCACCGATCCGTTCCGCTACTACTTTGGCTCTTGGCGAGGGCGGGACCGTCGGTGCTTCTACTAGTAGTAGCGTGTTGCTCTTGCGTTTGCGCCCGCGTCCGCGCTTTGGCTTGCTTGCCAGAGCTTTGCTCCTTCGCACCACGCTTTGCTCCGGCCTCCTCAAGGTCTTCAAAACTCATTACCTTGGCCTTGCCTACTAGAACTACTGGCTTTATCGACTAGCGGGGTTTGGTTTCTCGGTTTGATCTGAAGGAGGAAACGATTACGATCTTTAAGGAGGGCCTGTTCGGCGAACGATACTTTAGCGGCGCTTGCCAGCCTCTCTGCTCGCCTTTTCGAGTACTCACATGTAGTATGTCTTTAATAGTCAGATCGCGCAATGACGCAAGCGCTTCTGTTGTCACTGACGTTACTGGTGTGATAGGTGTATCGGGTACTTCTAGTACATTGGTACTCATAGCTTCAGTTTCCAGATTTAGTATGTTGCTACTCACTTCCACTGGATATCTAGGGGCATCTCCGAGCACTCGTTCTGGATCAAAGGGGAACAGCCCGGTTGTAGACCACTCAGCTCCAATGTTCCTTTTAGTTAGTGCGCGATCTCTTGCAGGGCCATAGAGATAAGTAAAATGCTCTTTGCCGACAACGTCAACGCCTCTTTGGTTGAGTCGCTCGACTTGTTCACGATACGCGCTCTTCAAGGGTGCAAAAGGGCCGACGTCGCATAGCTGCAGCTTATGAGATGTGCGATAAGACAGACAACACAAGATAATGTTGTAACTAAGGCATAACTGTAATATCTCGAGCGTTCTATGCATCCCAAAGCCATCACAGACTAGCACTCGTGGTTTTCCGCCTAATTTCTGCGCGCGCCTGGGGCTCGAACACGCGTTCGAACCATTTTGAGCTAATCTTAGAGTAGTCATACCCGTTTTCTAAGTACGCGTAGTGCGACCCAGGGATTTTTGCGTAGTCCAGTTGTTACGATAGCTCGAAGCCGGCCATATGATGAATGGCAAAAGGGTCCTTCCGTCAGCACCGATGCACTCAATAGTAGTTACTATAGTGCGCTTGACATCCACACCTCCACCTTACCCATCGTCTTTGCCAAATAAGACCTTAGTCCAGCCATGAATGCTTAGCATGACTCCAGTTTCGTCTACATTATACACGTTTTCTGGCAGTATGCGTAGATTCTGTAGTACCTGGCTAATTATATCGAACCACTCTTCCATTTTCTTGTGTATGTTGTTTCGGTGACGCTTCCAGTCTATCAATCTAACCCTTCTTACCTAGAGTACGGTGTGATACTTCTCGAAAACTTGTGGCCAGATCTTCCTGGGGCACTTTATCGACTTCTTCATGGACCACTGACGGTTTATGCTAAACGCTAGCGAGCGAAGGTATTTAATCCGCACAGGTTGTCCAAGATTAGACATTAGTAGCAAGAGCTTTCCAAGGGCCTTCTCCTTCTCTCGATTCGAGTACTGCTAACTCTGAGCCTGCTCTGTTCGCGAATGTCGTCCAAGCCTACGGTGGCTCAGAGTTGAGACAGGGACATTGTCGTGCTCTGATCGAGCAGCATATGTGCTACACACACTACTAGGCAGACGTTGCGCAAGCGTCTTGCTGGCTAGATTCATGTTTATGTTGGTGATAACTGTAGGATACCTCTTCGAGCATGAAGCTAGCAGAAGCCAACAAGATTAACAACCAATGTGCTTCCAAGAATAGCTGGTAACCATGCGCTTGAGCAGTACCTAGTAGAAGCTTCTTGGATCCACACCACAGTTCCAGCTCCTTTAGCGTAACCCAATTATACATTGTAAGCTGTTAAAAATTTGCAATCCTGCTATTTTAGCGTTCCAAATCCTCTCGCTAAACGTGAAGGGCTAGCACACCGAGCCGTACAAACTCGAATTGCACCTAGACAAGGACTGCATATCTTCACTAAACCAGTATAGCTTCCTTAATTAGTGCATTATAAACTGTACATAAAATCCGAATAGACAGGCTAAGCTTCTATGGGAGGTAGATTAAGTGTGTGTTATTGTTGCAGCTGTAGTTATTGCTAAACACGAAAGACTCATTTCTGTAGCTAAAACTACTGTATTTTTTCTATTTAGGGCTTGTAATATCGTAAATCCCTTCGTTGGGGAAGAACCGCCGTGAGGGACAAAGTTGCAGGTGCTTTGACTTTGCAGCACTATGATGGCCTACAGACACCATGACGATTTTGTTGCCCTACACAAGTGCATATTAGAATCTGATGCACCAATCAGCAGTGCTGGCATGATATAAACCACCGAGCTAGCTGAATAGAGGGCAGCCAATTGAGCCTGGGGCGGCGTACTTACGGCAAGTCACGCTAACTCTATCAAGCTAAGAAGGGGCACGCTTCAGCCCCACCGATGGCTCTCGCAGACTTCGTGTATCTAAATATGCCAATCATAGAGCATGCCAAGCAGGCCTGGTGCCCCTTCATTTTGGCGTACATGCTCGAGGGATTACTATATCCTATCGTAGCGCTAGAAGGTGCCCTTTTGCTGCATGTGTGCCCCTAATTGTGAGGGGCTTGTTCTTGCTTTCTCTACTATATATGAAGTGAATGGTGCGCCCAAGACATTGCAATCAATATACCACAACCCAGTACTCAGTGCTTCTTTTCAATCTACTTTCCATACACGATGGCCGCTGCGACTTTAAGGCTCCCTGTCCATGGCCCTAACCAGGAGCACCGTTGCAACAAGCATAAAACACCTCGCTATTACGAGCTAGAATGGCAATACTTGGGAATGCCAGTTGAGGACGTGGAGAATGCCATAGTCAGTGGTCTTCAGTATAATTTCTATGCTGCTTTCGTATCTCAACCCATCCTCTCTCTAGAAGCTGCAGGATATTATCCATACAACGGTCTCGCTTGGGATGAAGAAGACGGGGTATACTTCGACCATTCACTCTATATTCTCGTCGACACTGGAGTGATAAAGAATTGCACTACTTCCTGTCAGGAAATCGATTTGTCTATACAGCTAGGTGACTGTTACCCGAGCGTAAAAAGCTTCCGCGCGGGTGGACTCCGATTCTACAATACATACAGTGTTCCACTTGAAGACAAAAAAACAGTATTCGATCGTGTCTATCAAAGGCAAAAACATATACAATCCTGGAAAGAAGAAATGCTGGGAAGCCCAGTGGTTAAGTCCGTACAGTACGTATGTCCGCGCTAATCATTATATGTGTAAGCTAAAGTGTAGCAAGTATGACTAGGGCCAATCCCTACCAGACAAAGACAGCATAACGTTCATTTAGTGGCGGGTGAAGTCAGGCGAGGTCATGACGGCGGTGCGGAGCGCATCAAGAGTGCAGTGCGGCCAAATGTTTTGTGCGATCATACGAACGTGCAGGAAAGGAAAGCTCAGTAATAGAAGAGATGAATGCACAATCTTGACATGATTGCATTTGATCCCATATTTCCTTAGAAACAAATGCAATCACTCTATCATGGCGCTCTCACGTGATTGCTTTGTTATTTCTTGATTTGATCTCTAGATGACGGCGACAGAAGGATTGAGGCCAGTTCTCAATCGGCGGCTCAGCAGGCCGATTTGATACTCGTCAGCGGTCGATACAGAACGCGAGGGAAGGTACATATCTACTTGATACGGATTGAGGATTTGCTGGCACTCGTTCGTAACAGGAAATCAACAAGTGCTTTCTCTTTAACGGGACTTAGGTATCGCCGGCTCTCAGCTTTGGCCTTTTTCGAGGGTCGACCTCGATACTAATAATAAACAGTCGTGTGAGGAACGTTGCCGTATCTAGCTTAATTAGAGATCCCTTACGCATATTAGCAGGTAATTCTAAGGCCAGTACCTGACTTGCGGAGTCTATGGTCGCTGTACTATAGGTGCAGTCGTTAGCGATTGCGGCTTCACCCTTGAGTATATGCAGCTGCGCAATAGTTTCGAACAGCCCTACCTTCTATAGAGCTTAGCGCGATAAGTCAGCTACAGAAAAACCTATGCGATTAACTAACTAGTTGATCTTTAATCTTATGGGAACTGGAATTTTGGAATACTGCTTGCGGAGGTGAAGCCGCAATCGCAATAACTATGCATCACACCTTTCTCTACTGAGCGGATGTTTCAGTCGTGGATATTTCCCTCGTGTCTGCTATTAATAGAACAAAGACCAAAGACAGATGAAACGAGTTAGAAGGACAAGTCACATGATAGACGAAGGTAGAGGCCACGTAAGTAATTAGTTAGTAACTATTAGCGAAATGTCTAACTAACTGTATTTAACTAGTATATCGCGTAGAAGCATCAAATCTACTAATAAGCCATACTAACTACCACCAGGCATTGACTAGCAAAGTAACTAACAAATACTTCGTAGGGTAATTACACTAGAAAAAAGATCAAGAACGCCAGAGAATTCTTGGAAATATAGGCTAGTTCTGAGCTTGGCTGAATCTGTTGAGCATCATAGTTACGCCATTTGCTAAGACGGCTGTTTAGTTTCTCGATACAAGAATGAGCATGTAATAAGACGTTTGGTCTTGTTTGAGAAGCATTTTGTGGCAGGGGTAACCGATGATGAGGTGGTAATTAGTTTACTTAAGACAATGTTGTGTATTATAGATTGTTCTTAGGGCGGAGGCTTCCTCGTTAGATTGGTATACCCATTATGCCTAGGTACACATCTGAATTCATGGAACAAAAGCACGAGTATGTTGCATGGTTTTCCGCACTTGTTACAAGGTTTTTCTCCTGGTTGACGCTTATGATCTATGCTGTACGTAGTTTTACGAATCATTACAGTATCTCTATAATTTACTGTAACACTTTGTATTAACATTTGAATATTGAATCGTATACTGAACATAGCGAGCTATTTATCAATCACGGTTACAACCGTGAGTCATTACTGTAGATTTTGTCAGCATTCAGCAGTCGGAATTACAATGTTAGTGCTGTTGATATCAAGGCAGATACGTAGTAATCTATTTAAGCAAAACATACCTCCCTTCGCACCTATAGGTATCAACGATGCACCTCGTATCTATTAGAACATGTTACCTCACTAGCCTGTAAGCTATCTATTCGCTGTATCATACTAGGTAGAAACTTCAAACTCCTCAATTGGTATACGAACCCTGACTATAAGATGGCCGTGGCCGTCTAGCGCTACAGATGAGGCTGACCGCGATAGGGCTCGATCGTGACCGTAAGCATCTTGAAGGATGCCAGCTCAGTACACGATACGAACTGCGTCGCAATGGTGCGCCTGCTTACCAGTAAGCAGCTTACGTCCCTCACCGAATGGAGTACTTGCAGTAGGCCAGCTGACCGCGAGCAACAAATCTGGCACCACATACCTTATTTAAACAAGTATTACTCCCACCATCGCAAGCTTCCGATAACTAAAGGGCTCTCTTAGTCAAGTAAGCTTTAGTCTAGAAACTTCTTGGTTTCGTAAGGGAACATCTTCGTGACTAATGTGTATCAAATTGAAGCGGAACAATACTGTTAGGCGAAAAATCAGACTTGCTAACAATCAAATCAATCAATCTGAGCCCTCGGATTGATCTTGATTGATCCTGTAGCCAGCCAGTATTTGATTTGATTGATTTGATAGCCAAAATCACGATTATTGATTGAGGTTTTGATTGAGTTGATTCGTTTTTGATCTATTATTACCTAATTAAGTAAGTGAGACTAAAAAACACTATATTGATAATTTCTCTTATTGAGTTTTGGAGCTACTACTATAACACACGCTAATATAAAAATAAGAGCTTGATGTCTAATGTTATTAGTAGGATTCGAATCTATAAGCAAAAATACTAGTAGCCAGGACCATCTCTTTCGTTGATAGCTAGCGCTAGCTATTAACGAAAGAGACGGACCTGGCTGCTGATAACTAGAAGCCTAATAGTATATTATATAGTTATAGTTAGTATCAAGTTGATTTATAGTTAAAAGTAAGAGTATAATACTGAGTTCTAACTACTTGAGTTAGTACTATAGTAGTAGCTATTATATCGCGGTTGTATAACCAGTGTATTAAGTATTAAGTAGCCATAGTCAATAACTATACAGCGCTATCTTCTACCTCTAGCTGGGACCAGTCGCGGACATGATATATTGAGTTGATACTATCATCAGACATCTGATTAACAGCTGCCTCACTAGCTGGAGTATATCCAGCAGCTTGCCAGCTTTTGACATATTGTAATACTGCTAATAAGTTTGCGCCAATATTACGCCTCCGCGGCTCTAGTAGATCGCCCAACTTACTAAATAGACGCTCGCACTCACAGCTACTAGCTGGTATAGTTATGAGGTTTATCGTAAAGCTAGAGAGCTCTAGATATTTCGAGCGTAGCCCTAGCTAGTACTTTATTACAGCTCTACTGTAACGGGCTGAACGCCCTTCGCCTCCTATACTCGTCTACGACCTCGTTTACTCCACCTACCGGCCCGATTGTTACTCCAGCAACCAGCATTGTATATAGATAGCTACGTAGCTGAGAGCTTAGCTCTCTATCGAATACAATCTTG